GTGACCTGTCCCGGCCCGGTCAGCTGCAGCACGGAGCGGGGCCGGGGCCGCACGCCGCTGAGTGACGGGAACCATGGTGCTTCGGCCGGCGGCCTGGTCGGAGATCGGCGCGTCTGATGTGGTAATCGAATGGGTAACGGATGGGGTTCCCATACCGTTTTCAAGTGAGCCTGAACCAAAAGTATTTTCTAATCCAAGGTTCACTGATACTGAAGTTGATTTTTTGAACAATGAACTCATTAACCTGGAATCTAGAGGTGTCGTTCAGAGAGTGTCAGAGACGCCTCACTGCGTGTCCCCACTAAAGGTTGTGCCGAAACCTAGTGGGAAGTTCAGACTGATATGTGACCTCAGGTATGTGAACTCACACTGTGATACACCACGATTTTCGTCTGAAGGTATCGATGTTTTACCCGAAATAGTACGTGATGCTGAGCAGGCTGTAACTTTAGATTTACGTGACGGATTTTTTCATTTTCAGATCGAGCCACAATATCGCAAGTATTTAGGGTTTCAGTACGGTGGTTCTTGGTGGGTGTGGTGCTGCTTACCTTTTGGGTTACAATGCTCTCCGTTTTATTTTCACAAATGTATTCGTGCCGTTGTTAAATATTTGCGTGATGTCAAATCATTGTCACTCATGGCCTATGTTGACGATTTTTATTTATGCTCCACAAAAGCAAGCATTGATCGAGACCTTGGTGTGTTGTTAGAGACGCTCAGTACCTTAGGTCTCGCTGTGAATTTTGAAAAGTCACATCTCACGCCCTCGGAGTCGGTAACTTATTTAGGCTTTGAAATTCGCTGTGCTACCGCTTTGAGCCCTCCTGTGATTACGGTTCCTAAGTGTAAAGTTCGAAAGTTGAAGCAAGACATTTCGAGGGCGCTGAAGCGTAGTTTCATTTCGGCTCGTTTGCTAGCTCGGATCGCTGGCCGGTGCATCAGCATGCTGGCGGCAGTCTTTCCGGCAAAGCTGAAATTGAGGAATGTGTACCGTCTCCTCAATTCCAGGTCATCCTGGGAGGCTCGGCTCCTGTGGTCGCCAGGAGCGAGAGAGGACCTGTCGTGGTGGGTGTCCTCCCTCGACGGCTGGAACGGCAGGCTGCTGGTGCCGCCGGCTGTCTGCGAGCTGCAGCTCTCCACCGACGCGTCGGGCTCCGGCTGGGGGGCCGTTCTCTCCACGCCCAGCTGTCAGCTGGCGTCCGGATTCTGGGATCAGCTGGTGAGCAGACAGTCGGCGAATTATCGAGAGCTATTAGCGGTTTATTTTGCTCTTCGCTCGTTCCGTTTTTCGATAGTTGGAAAAACAGTAGAAGTTCTGTCGGACAATGTTACTACAGTCGCTCATATAAACAAATTCGGTTCATCCAATGTTAGCTTAGATAGCATCGCACAGAACATCTGGTCGTTTGCTTTTGACAATAACGTTTCGCTGGTAGCGCATCACATTGCGGGTGTCTCGAACACGGGCCCCGACACCCTGTCTCGTATGTCGGCGCGTCATGAGTGGGTGTTGCACCCGTCCATCTTTCGACAGCTGGACCGGATGTTCGGGCCGCACACGGTGGACCGCTTCGCGGCGGTTGGCACGGCCCTGTTGCCTACCTACAACAGTCGGTTCGCGGACCCATGCTCGTCAGGAGTGGACGCGCTGGGGCAGACGGACTGGGGCGCCGAGAACAATTGGGTAAACCCGCCGTTTCGCCTGATCCCGAGGGTTCTCGACATCATCGAGGCGCAACGTGCCGACGCGACGCTGATCGCGCCGATGTGGCCAGGCCAGCCGTGGATGGCACGCCTCCGACGGCTGTGCACGGCACCGCCGATCCGGCTTCCGCCGGTAACACGTTCGTGTCTCCCTCTATCGGAGCAGCAGCGGATCGAGCCACATCAGAACCGCAGGTGGACGCTGTGCGCCTGGAGAATCTCTGGTGCACACGGCTAGAGGCACGAGGATGGTCGCGAGCCGCTAGCAACTATTTACGGGTGAGCTTGGCGAGCAGCACACTCGCAACGTATGACCGATACATTCGTGATTTCTTTGTTTTCTGCGGTGCTCGTGGAGTATCGTTTCCGCCAGATGATTCCGCTGTGCTGGCTGATTTCTTCATGCACCGGTGCGGGTCGTCGGACCGGCCGCACTCCACCGTTCGGTGTGTTTCTGCGGCCATTTCAGCTTTGTATGAAGCGTTCGGAGCGGATAACCCTGCTAGGGATCCGTTCATTGTGAGACTCCTGCAGGCCATCGTTAAAGGGGGCACGCGCGCCCCGATGGTTCGATCTGCAATCATGGATGTTTCGGCGTTCGTCCGCATGTTTCAGTCTTGGCCAGACAGTGCAGAACTGTCTACCAAACAGCTACGGCTGAAAACCATTACTTTGTTATCGCTAGCTTTAATGCTGAGGCCGTCTGACGTCGCGCCACTGGCTAAGAGGTACGAGTCCAGTACCGGTGTTATCTCTGATTTTGTTATGTCAACGGACCAATTTCAGTTTAACGCGGACGGTTCTCTCGGTGTGACCTTTCTCGGCGTCAAAAATGACAGCCAGCGTACGGGCTTCCAAGTTACTTTGCCCCCCAGTCCTGATAGCAAGTTAAATCCTGTGGAAGCACTCAGGATTTATCTGGCTCGTACGGAATCGGTGCGTTGTCCGACTACTAAACCGGCGTTTTTAACTCTCGTTAGGCCTTTCAAGGCTATATCTGCTAGCACAGTCGCTGAAGTTCTGCAACAGGCCATCACTGCCGCCGAAAAGTTTGGCCTGCCGACTGGCCATCGGCCGAAAGATTTTCGGCCGACAGGGGCTACTCGGGCGGTTCAATTAGGCTTTGACACTGATGATGTACAACGTCTTGGCCGCTGGAAAACACGGTCAGTCTTTTTGGAGCATTACGTGCACAACGCGATTCAAAGCTCGTACACGGAGCAAATGCTCAAGTGATCGTGTCAGTCTGATCAGTCGTGTGTGTGTTCGTCCTTCTAGAGCCAGGCACTTGTGCGATTCGTTCACGTTTTCCTTTTGTTTCTCTCTCTCTCTCTCCAGTGTTTATTGCGTTGTTTGTTATAATACATGTAAGGCGGGTCACAGTAACGTTGGTTTTATGAAACCGTAGTTACGTGACCCGCCGCTAGTGGAGCTGGTGGCGGGTCAGTCTGACCCGCCCCAGCAGTGCGTGCTCGCCCTTGCCGTGGTTGGTTGCTGGCTAATGTCGGTTGAAGGTTGATGCAAATGTTGAGGTGACGGGATCTGTGGAGCGTCCGGGCAGCGGAGAGCCTAGCATGTACGCTGTATTGCGTTGTTTGTTATAATACATGTAAGGCGGGTCACAGTAACGTTGGTTTTATGAAACCAGTGAATTGTCACAGTCACTCACAACAATACGAATTGTTCAGTCGTGCGCTGGGGGTCCGCCAAGTTTGAGTGTGCTGCAGAATGCAGACTGGACCGCCGAGAATATAACACTTCCGTCTCCCTGGGCGAGCGGCGCATTGGAGCCGAAGGAAACTGCTTCAGTTTTTTTTTGTGGGGAAGATACCCATGTTTGAAAATTATGTTCTGGAATGATGCGATAAGGAAAAGGACGGTTTCTGGAATTGAGGGCTGTGGAGAAGAAGCAGATTTTCTCATTTGCTACCCGATACAACGCGAAAAGACGCAAATGTTGCACATTGGGCTTAATAAGTCTAATAAAAGATAAGGGACTTCGTGAATCATGCCTAACTGACCGCGACCCAGTTATTTGCCACTGCAGGTAGGTACTAGGTAGGTAGATAATCATTTGTAAACAGAGCGTTCCACCAACCCTCGCCAGAAATTCAATCAGCAGCTGCTTATCTTAAAACGTTTGAGTGCACCTAACAACCTTTAAAAATGACGTCCTCCCTTTCAATGGTTCGTTCAAAGACACAAAGCCAGAATCAGCCAAGCAATATCGGAATCCATTGCGCAGTGTGGATTCCGATATTGTGGATGTGCCCATCCACATAGCATAGCACACACTGCTAAATGCAGGTACGCTCACCTACACATTAGGTATTCGAAGGACTTGATAGCTCATACACATGGAAGAAACGCATGAAATGTGATTAATAGCTGCAGCAGAAGTTTGGCGTCCGATGCCTCTTCGCCAAGTTAAGACCATGCTTATCTCGGCCAGTCTGCCGCCGCGCCGGCACTGGCCGTGGTGTGACGTCATCCGGCCGGCTCGGCGCTGGGTAGTTCCACACTTAGGTAACTCGCGCCCCGGCTTGGGTCAGCGCACGCTGCCCCGACTCGACTACCTCACGTTACCGGGGCCCTGGCTTTGGGCGCGGTCTACCCTACCGCACCACCTAACAGGCGTGTTCGGAACCGCAGGAGATGATGATGAACGGGTTTATCGAAACTTGATTGGATGAGCCTATCGGTAATAGCGATTTCAGTGTGTGCATTTATTGTTCATAGTGGTGTGAAATGTGGTTGGGGTACGACCGACAACCCGCCGGGGCGAATTTCGCACTGGGGTACTCATAATTTGAAGAATTTAAGACGTTTCCATGAGTTTTGAAGGTATGGATAAGTTCTAAAAATCCGGTTCTCCTTACCTGGGCCATTAACTCCATACGGTCCAGGAAAGCTGGCACACTACCTTTAACGGAAAGTTTTCCTAGCGGGAGTTCCCTACCTCACAGGCTCTTTTGATGATTCCACTTGGTCAAGTTATTGCAACGTTGGTAATGAGTACAGTTTTCTTCCATTTTCAATTTATTTTCGCCAGATCTACATACGCGCCTTTTACTTAGAGCGGTCGGTGTGTGGCATGATGCTCGAGCCTCGATGTCTCTCGTTTGTCTTTTGGTTTGCGTATAAAGCTATGCATTTAATAGAGTAATGCTATGCATTTTGACACATGTTTTTGTCACGACTGGTGCGTCTTTCCAGCGAATATAGAGATGCGGCTCCACCAATATCTGTAATGCGTCATTCAGCATACCACGTGCGCCATCACACATGCCCCCATGCGTGACTGTCGGCGTGAGGTGTGTCGTTTCACGCGTTATGCCGTGATGAGCCGCTGAAGAGTGGGCCATGACGGGGTCAGCCATGATACGCACGCAGTGGCCCCGCAGAATACCTGAGTGTCACGCCACCTCCCCGCGGTCACGAGGGTCGGTTATTTGGGTCATCAGACGACACTGAGAGAGCCATTAGTTGGCCAGAGTAAGCAGCTACACGAGGGCCTGGTATGTTAAGCAGATATGGAACAACAAATACTAGATAACTACTATGCTTTTCAGACCCCATGAGACCCTAATTTTCGGCGATAATTTATTTACTATTTGTCCAATTTGCTTCAAATTTTCACAATGCACATTTCAGCTCAAGCGCCAATTTTCGCCAATATGGTCTCTTAACAAAATATCAAATTTGAGGGTACTTGTCGTTGCCTCGTAATGTTAAAATCGGCTCCGTAAATCCGTCAGTGGAGTAGAGGCTATCCGTGCGTAGGTGTGACGTCACAAACACGTGACCATTAAGCTCCGCCCTCCCGGCGGACGGGGTAGTGACCTTGGCCGGTCAGTCGGCTGCGTGGAGCGGGCGAGGCAGTAGCTGTCGCACCGGGGCGGCTCGCATGGACTGTAGGAGAATTACACTAGTGTAATTCTACGGACGGCCTGCTGATCTGTGCAATCTATGGAATCTGTGTCAGCAATCTAAAGAAGGGCCGTCCGTGAATACAACAGCGGGCAGAGCCTGGCGGCGCGGACTGGTGTGACTCCCGTTACGCTCGCCTGGAGCGCCCGAATCGCTGCGGCACTTGCGGTGCGGCGAGCGGTATCGGTGGGTGTCAGCAGAACGCTGTTGGGCCCGGCAGACTGGCGGTAGCCGAGCACTCGCTCTTAGGAGAGCGTCTGGACTGGCAGGCGTGTCCGCTAAGACAGCCTGAGCCAGAGCCAGTGGCAAGGTCCGTGTCAGTATACCGGGTCCGACCAGGGGTACCGGCGTGGCTACAATCAGAGGCGTCTTTAAGGGCGTGTTGCCCACCTCGCTCGACCGTAGCTCGGTGCGACCTTGAAGGTCGGTTGTGCGTGTGTCTCTCCGTCGTCAGCCTTCAGCCTCCTCCGTCTTCCTTTCGCCTCTCTTCTTCAAAGTCCTGCTCCAGTTAGAAGTCGAATGTATTTGCACACAATTGGGCGACCATTGTACTAACAGTACCAAGTGGTAACGAATAGTGCGCATGCGCTATCATGTAGAACGGTGCACAGTTCCTGGAGGTCCACACGCGCAGTGGCGGACACATTAGGTACAGAGAATATATACACGATACAAACATATGACAACAAACATACACAAACAAACATAACATATGTACACTACGCGATCGGGCACAGCTCGTCACTATCCCGCTGCCAGACATTCGCACCACCACGGTGGCTCGAGCCTTCCTCGAGCACTGGATCGCCAGGTTCGGTGTTCCATCCATCATCACCACCGACCGCGGCGCTCAGTTCGAGTCTGCCCTCTGGTCGGAGCTTCAGCGGTTCCTCGGCTGCCAGCGGACTCGGACAACCAGCTACCACCCGGCCTGCAACGGCATGGTCGAGCGGTTCCACCGTCAGCTGAAGGCCAGCCTCCGTGCCCACCAAGCTGCCTCGTGGACAGACGTGCTGCCGCTGGTCATGCTGGGCATCCGCGCCACCATCAAGACCGACCTGCAAGCATCCCCAGCTGAACTGGTATACGGCTCTCCACTGCGACTCCCAGCCGAGTTCTTCGACAACAGCCGCACAGCAGACGCATCACCAGCCTCCTTCGTCAAGGACCTGCGACGCGCCATGGCTCAGCTTCGACCCACTCTGCCACGGACAACCAAGCGCGCCACGTACGTCCCGGAGGCGCTGAAGACGGCAAAGTACGTTTTCGTTCGGCGGGACGACCACCGTTACCCTCTGGACGCACCGTACGACGGCCCGTTCCCAGTCATCAACAGGACAGACAAGACCATCACCATCCAACGGCGACAGCGACGCGACGTCATCACCATCGACCGTTGCAAGCCCGCCTTCATGGACGAGGTGCCGGATCAACCTCAGGAGCAGCCACAGCGCGCACCTGACGTGCAGTCACCGGCCGCCCAGACAGGCGGCCCGGAGCTCCTGCTCTATGACGACACTCCAGCCGCCGCACGTCCTGCACCGCCAACACCACGCCCGGCGCCAACGGAAGCACCAACAACAAGACCGACAACACCGCGACCAGCAGCGCCATCGCGGCCAGCATCGACCACGGACATCACCACGCCAGCACAGCCCAGATCGATTCTCCGCACTCGCTCCGGACGCGAGTCACGACCACCGGATCGATTTCGACACGTCACCTTCATCGGCGACGCGTCTAGGGAGGGGGCAGTGTAGTGACGAGCTGTGCCCGATCGCGTAGTGTACATATGTTATGTTTGTTTGTGTATGTTTGTTGTCATATGTTTGTATCGTGTATATATTCTCTGTACCTAATGTGTCCGCCACTGCGCGTGTGGACCTCCAGGAACTGTGCACCGTTCTACATGATAGCGCATGCGCACTATTCGTTACCACTTGGTACTGTTAGTACAATGGTCGCCCAATTGTGTGCAAATACATTCGACTTCTAACTGGAGCAGGACTTTGAAGAAGAGAGGCGAAAGGAAGACGGAGGAGGCTGAAGGCTGACGACGGAGAGACACACGCACAACCGACCTTCAAGGTCGCACCGAGCTACGGTCGAGCGAGGTGGGCAACACGCCCTTAAAGACGCCTCTGATTGTAGCCACGCCGGTACCCCTGGTCGGACCCGGTATACTGACACGGACCTTGCCACTGGCTCTGGCTCAGGCTGTCTTAGCGGACACGCCTGCCAGTCCAGACGCTCTCCTAAGAGCGAGTGCTCGGCTACCGCCAGTCTGCCGGGCCCAACAGCGTTCTGCTGACACCCACCGATACCGCTCGCCGCACCGCAAGTGCCGCAGCGATTCGGGCGCTCCAGGCGAGCGTAACGGGAGTCACACCAGTCCGCGCCGCCAGGCTCTGCCCGCTGTTGTATTCACGGACGGCCCTTCTTTAGATTGCTGACACAGATTCCATAGATTGCACAGATCAGCAGGCCGTCCGTAGAATTACAGGACCGTAGCTGCCGTGCAGTTGTCGTTGCAGCCGTAATTTCATCGAATGAGCTAAATAGCGCGCATAAGTAACGCACCAGCTGAAGCCCTCGACTAATTGTATCTATCACAAATGTACGTACACCTTGTTCAGTCACAAAAAATATATATATTTCCACACAAGATTCGGGGCTTGTGAAAAAACGCGCATAAAAGACGCTGTTGATTTCAAATGATTGCGTAAGATTATGTATCGCGTCAGACTACGTCAAAATTGCAAAACAGAATCACCATTAACACATGATGCAATTTATGTGTTTGATAGGGGAGAGTGGGGTAAGATGCCCAGGGTGGGAAAGACGCCCCACCCCCTCTAGCGGGGAAACAAAGAATCGAACCTGGAAATTAATGTTCTTAGCGTAAAGCGGAAGCCTGCCTTGTTAACTGCACAAAAATTTGCGAAGCTCAGTTGGGCAACGGCTGGCTGGTGATCGCATGTTTTTTATTTGCTGCTTTCAAAAAATATGTTGGCGTCAAAACATTGTAAATATCAAAGAAGGTAGATAATTTTTGCGTCCCTTGCTATAGTCGTGATACATTAACATGCGTGTACTGTGTCCCAAACAGTTTGTTTCAGGGTGTAGTTTTATGGCTAACAAATGGTGCTAATTTAATGTTAGTTCGGTACCTTGGGGTAAGATGCCCCCTGTCCTGATGGGGAAAGACGCCCCCCTAAATCCGTAGGCTGTCCTTTAAGCAGCCCGTCAAATCATTTATTACATACTTGTGATGAGAGACAAAGCCGATCTGGGACTATTGATAGTCCGGTACGGTCGGGTGCTCCCCATGCCGGTCTTTCGGCCCACACAGCGACTTTTTGGGCGGCATCTGACTCTGAGAGCCCTCACGACGACCTCTGTGGGCCCCGTTATTGGTTCCAGGGCCCCTCACGACATCCTTTGAGGGCTCCCACGTTGGCTTCACGGGCCGCGCTGGCATCTGAGGTCCCCACGATGGGCTCGAGGGCCCTCAAGCATAATAAAGACCTATAAGGGCCCCACAGTGGTCTCCGAACGCCACCACGGAGGCTTGTTTGGCCACGCTGGACTATGATGGCCCTAACGATGACCTCTGAAGCCCCTTACGACTACATTTGAGGGCCCTTACGATGACGTTTGGTGTCTACTGCAGGCTCGAAGGGACTACTGATTCGTTCAGGCGATTCACGTGCCTATTTATGTCACTTATAGTGCAGGGGGCATCTTACCCAACGCCAGGGGGCGTCTTTCCCACCCTTTGGGGTAAGATGCCCCCTTTCACTTCTTCAGGAAAATGCTTAATAGCAAAAAAAGTTATCCTATTTCAGGCACGAAAGTGTGATATGTTTGGAGAAAAATGATGTCGGCTTCCGTTGAAACTCCAAGTTTTGGCTTTCCGATCGTCATTTTCGAATAATATATGACATAGTCAAACCCTGGGCATCTTTCCCCACTCTCCCCTATATGAAATTTGATAAGGAATGTATGCCGGCGTGATCGATTTATATCATCCCGGTGCAACTAAGCATTGAACACCTTCAGGACTAATCCATTTGATCATTGACTTAGGTTGAGGAGGTCGCCAGACTAACTTTGCCCCCAGAGCTTGTGTGTTGAAATGCAAACATGAAAAGTAAAAGCCTAGAGATAGTTTCCTCACCATTGAGGACATACCTACTGTTACTTAAGTTTTACAAAAAAGATACGAGTTTATTGATGATCGTTCTCGTGTAGTGCCCAACGTCCGCCTGCCACATTGCTATTTCTTTTTGTGCACGTCTTAACAATATAACACACACATGACACCGCGATAAAGGCCATTTCTACCATACGACACATTACGCTTCTGCCCCACCCGGCGCCCCGCACCGCTTCACGAATCACGAATACGGTCGTTTCGCTGGAGCGATGCCCCAGGCAATCGGCCGTGCCCGAGACTCTTCATCCTACTTTGTTGCTTTCTGCGCTTTCCTCAGAAACATTTATTGGCACTGCCAAATATATCAATATTTTTGGGTTAAGCACAGGCTTACACATGATCTTATAGGTAATCGGGTAGTGACCTGACCCAACCTGACGATGAGATAGGTGCAACTCCGGCTTAAATAAATGTTCATAGCCCAAGAGTCTATCCATCTTTCCTTCTACGGCCGGTTCCATTCCAATAGATCCTACCTTGATTCTGATCATTCTGAATATTCTGAGCTGGTTCGACGTTTAAATACCAAAATAAGGTGTAGAGGATACCAAATGCCCTCAAACGGATAATTTTTTGGCTTTCGTCCGGAAACAACTTTGCCAGTTCACTTGTCTCCAGTAGGTATGTGGTCTCGCTCCGACCTCTTCGCGGTGCTGACACCGACTGAAGCGGCATAGACCCATCGCGGTCACGGCCAGTGGGCGGAGTTTAGTTTGGCCCGGCGCAACGTGATTGGCCAGCGCTCCTATCCAATCCGGTGCGGTAGCGAGCGAGCCTCTATCCGGGTGCAAAAACTGATTAACATTACGAGCCAACGAGAAGTGCTCTAAATTTTGATATTTTGTTAAGAGACCATATTGACAAAAATTGGCGCTTGAGCTGAAATATCGTCTGCCAAAATTTCAAGCTAATTGGACAAAAATTGAAGAAATTATCGCCGAAAAGCAGGGTCTCATGGGGTCTGAAATGCATAGTAGGGGAAAATACCACTTTTTAACGACAAATGACGACTTTGTTCTACAGTATGTGTGTGTTCTTCCGGCTCAGAGACCTATCTGACAGAGGCAAATTCCTAGCCTAGCTGCCCCTGGTTTGTCAAAATGAATTATCAAATGATTATGGTTAAATTGACGATAACCAGAAGTTGTTTGCCTAACGTCGCACGATACGATTCACCCAGCGACTCTGAACAGCCACAACTTTTGAATTGTGTGCAGTGCATTGTTCTGAAGTGCTTGTCCCTGACCCTCGGTTGGGTTCATCCGGGCTAATTGTTTACACGCAGCTTAACTATGATTTATGCAGACGCGCATTAATTAAACGACAGCGCACCGCTGCAAAAACACAACAGCCGGTCTAAAATCTCAATGAGCTAAATGTGGACTGAAGGCAAAGGATCGTGAGCGTTAGTGGCAATGACAACACCATCTGTGCGCGCTCGCCGCTCAGCAGTGCTTTCAACCGATATGCTTTATAGAAACAGTGCATTTGGCTTCAGTAATTCTGTTTTTCGAATACATATATTGTTGAATAATAAATACAAAGAAAATGATGGTGCGTACGATGTATGTGTGTATATACAAAAAAAAGAAGAGAAACCATGTTCGTTGTCCAATAAATCACTCTTTCGCCTGTCGTTGCCTGCAGGGATTCCTATGATGTCGCATTAGCGTTTGGGGACAAACTGAAACAATGCAGTCTACGAACGGTGTCGGTGACTGGTATATGTAGGTACTGTTCAACTATAAACCATAGAGTTACGCTACCGTAGGTCGAAAGCCACAGTCACCTCCTGTTCTTTCACCAGCGAAGGCCGCCGTGTGCCTTGTGCCTTGTGCCGTGTACCCGGCGCCGTGTGCCGGATGCCGTGTATCGTGAGCCGTGTGCCGTGTGCCGGATGCCTTGTGCCGTGGACCCGGTGCCGTGTGCCTTGTGCCGTGTACCCGGTGCCGTGAGCCGTGTGCCGTGTGCCGTGTGCCGTGAGCCGTGAGCCGTGTGCCTTGTGCCGTGTACCCGGTGCCGTGTGCCGGATGCCTTGAGCCGGTGCCGTGTGTCGCGGTGCCACGGTGGCTGTTGTACTCTGCTAGTACCCGAAGCGGCCTCCAGTTCCTCTACCCGTAAAGTCCCCGTGTTCCGCCATCGGTAACCGTTCACCGTTATCATCCCGGCCCAGTCCCCGCTGCCGTCGTCGTCTGTGTCGGCGCGGTATATGAGAGCCTGCTGATGGAAGACCGGGCCTGGCGACGGCGCCGACGGCGGCGCGGCACCCCATCGACAAGCCCGTAGGCAGCGTCATAGGCAGTCCCATAGGACGCGTCATCGACGGACCTATATAGCAGGGTTGTATATGACTCAATCAATAGCAATCAATTCAATCACGACAAATTTGGGAAACCAATCAAATCAATCAAGTCAGAGCAGTTTTCGGGAATTGATTCAATCGACTCAAACCCGACAATGAAAGGAATCAATCAACTCAATCAAACGACTCAAACCAAGACATACATTAGGTTTTTTGCCCCACCAACTTGGAAAAGTGTCCATAGCAGTCTGGTGTACCTACCTACCTATCTACCTACCTACAGAAGAAACATAAAAATATTGTCATTTAAAATTATAAATTGCCATGCCATTCAAAGTTTCTATGAGGAAGGATACCTAGTGATGGACAGGTGGATCATGATATTGAGGTTCAATGGGTAGAATTGGAGTAGAAGTTTCATTTAATGGGTGCAAAATAACCCAGGAGTTGACTCGCCCCTTAACCCAAATCACCACCTTTCACCTAAAAGTTGTCAATTTAATTTTGGCCATATTCCAACTCCATTTACACTAAATATCAGATATTGCAGTTGAAAGTTGGCTGCTCGGATTTTGGCAGTGTTCGTGTGGATTGGAGCAGTTATGAGTTATTGCAGTTGAAAGTCAAAGTTGGCTGTTCATGTTTAGGCTCTGTTCTTTATTTGGCCATATACCCCATATCGCAGTTGTGATGACAAGCAGTTTTCAGTGTAGTTTTGTGATCTTTGATGTCATCAATTGGTGTCATTACTTTTCGTCAACTAAAACTTATTTGAACTTTCCATTCAATCGACTCACTCATACGAGTCACTCTAATTTTCGGGAATCAAATCAGTCAACCAGTCGCTAAAGTCAAACGAGTCAGTCAACCAGTCATCTCGAAAAGTCAATCGACTCAATCCAATCAACTCAAAATACGCGTTGAAACAAATCAATCAATTCAATCGACTTGATTGGTATACAACCCTGCTATATAGGCAGCCCTATAGACACGTCACAGGCAGATGACCCATAGGCAGCTCCACAGGCAGCCCTTCAGAGTTGCATATGAGGCCCATAGACAGTCCCATGGACAGTCCCAAGAGAAATAGTCCCATCAGCAGTCGCATGGCAGCCCCATAGGCAACCCCATAGTCAGCCCATCAACAGTTCCATAGACATCCCTATCGACATCCCCAAAGAGCCTCCTAGGCAGTGTCATATGTATCCCCAAAGGCAGTCCCATCAGCCCGTCGGGGCAGGCACGCAAACACAGCACGGAGCTGCATGGAGGCACGCCACCCGCGCCTGTGGCTGGTCACATGGAGAGGGTAGGTCCGTCAACTTCCAGTTCGGGCCTGGTCGAGTTTCTTTAAAGGTCTGGTTGAGGGTCCCTTCCTGGCAACCGCGGAATTTTGTCGTGGTTGGCATCTGAATTTGTGGTCATATTTTGCTACCGCTTCATGCGGAACTCGTATATCGGTAAATCCTGTTGCCTGTCGCTGAGAATGCAAGATCTGTGCGTTTGGCGATGCTGTTTCTAATGGGAAGTTGTGACACGAAAAAGAGGTTGGTAGCAGGGTGACAGCGCTACCTTTTTGTGACCTATTTACGTTGTGATACCTTCTTTGGTAATATCAGTAATAAATATTGCTCATGAATATAGATAATATCAGTAATGGGCAGTTGGCAAATGATACGTGTAAGTATATTCTCCTGCAGTACTTGATCAAAATTGTTATGTTCCAGCTTGACACGCGGAGAAGCGTTCTCGTTTTGGTGGGCCGCCTAGATCAGCCGGCAGCAGCGCGGTCCTTCCCTAAATCGGAGACGTCTCGCCGCAGCCGGCCTCGACGAATTAGGTCAGGCATGCCGAGATGAATGGCTTGCAGATTGCATAATGAAGTGACTTATAACTCCGTTTGGTATCCCCCGAGATACTGCATGAAAGGAGTTACTTGGTAGAACCGGTCACGCAGCAGTAGTATTATAGCATCGGCGTTTGCACTGCAAAGGCTTGCATGAATGCTTGCCTTTAATAAACAGGAGTTTGAAATGCCGAATGAATAGTCGCTGCTAAAGCACCTGTTCCAGCTCAGACAAGCCACATCAGAAACACTCTGGGGCACCCTGCGGCCGAAACGACAGCAATATATGAATAGAAATTACGGTGCTCAAGTCATGGCGAAGTTGAGAGCATCAAATCATTCACATCCGCGATATTACAGATGTACCATTTCACGGGACGTTTGGGTCGCCGCTGTGCTCTCATCGACCACGTCCATCATGCCGCGAGCGATCTCTTAAACCGAACAGCGCCCCTCTCGGATCGCGGCGCGCAACATTTCATAAACCGTCTGGCACTTCATCTGGCAATTGACTGTGCCGGCCGGTCGGCTTCTGACTCCTCTCTCCAGCGACCGGCGGCGGCGTGGTGGTGGTTTTCGTGGCTGTGCGCCCCCAAATGAGCAAACAATAATGTCATCCCATCGTCGGCGGTGGTCGGCAGTCGGCGCCGGCGTCGACGCGTCGTCACCGGCGGCCGCGCGCCGGCGGCGGCAGTGGTCGGTCGACGGTGGCGACGGCGGGGCGGTGGAGCGCGCGCGTCGGGCGGCAGTGTCGCAGCGGAGACTTCCCTGGACTGAGAGGCGATCAAGCCGAGCTGAACCGGCGCTGGCGGCGGACTGAGGCCGTCATGAGGCCGTCTGTGGTCTGGACGGCGACTGCCCTGCTGCTGTTCTGCCACCACGCCGCAGCCAAGCAGAAGATCAAACTAGGTCAGTGCCGACGGCGAGCCGTCGACGGGATGGGACTCGATGAAAGCTGAGCTTGCTCTCGGCTTGATGAGTTTCTCGGGATGTATTTCAGCGCAGGCCCTCCAGCCAATTAGCCGGGTCTGGCCGACCGGCTCAAATAACGAGCCGACGTCTAAATGCGTTAGTACGGTCGGTATTTGTGCTTGGCAGATAGTCGCTACGGACGGCCAGCCGACGACGACTATCTCCCAGTCCCAGAGGTACTTTATGTCGGCCGTTTTTCGGGGTAGCGTCAACTATTGGGTGACTATCCGGCCTTATGATGCGACATTGGGAGACAATTATCAGAGAGTGTCCTGGAAATGGCACACGAGCTAGAGAGTGGGGACCGAGTGCCGTCAATGTGCCGAAATAGCGGGCCGCGATGGCCCAGAAGTGCTGGCGGCTGCGGCGAATATTCACTCGCCAGCCGCTTCCTTTAGATGGCCCATTGCCGGAAAATGAACAGGCGCATAATATATGCCAGCAAAATTGGCAGCTGGTGAGAGGCAGAAACATGATAGGCAGAGCGAGACAATGAGACCCACAACTCTGCAACATATTTGCGATGCACTGCCGAGCGATGCACTGCCATTGCCGAGGATGGTATTGAAATGCCGGTTTGAAATGAGGTCCAATGAATGATGAAAAACTATCGTCTGTACTGGACATAAATGAAACAGTTTTTTCTTCTTTTAAATTTGCTTGTGATGGGAAATGATCAAGCTACATGATCGAAATAATGGACACGATCTGCTCGCAAAAGAAATTTTGAAACTAGCTTTGTTCAGGCGATGCATGCTCTTTGGCCTCTTTAGTTGAGCTCTCAGGGTTGATGCGTTTGCGGACGAATTTAGTAACTCTTGGAAGGCAGGGGATAAAGGAAGGAAGTTATGAGCAAGTTTCAATTCCAGGTACTGGCATTACGGTGCTATTAAATGGTGCAAGTAGGGTGCCAATAATTAGTGCTTAAAATAGACCCAGTGATCAGATATCAGAGTTGCATCTTACTGATAATTTTATTCATCATTATAGCAGTACGAGTATTCAACAGGCCGGTAACACAAAGTACAAAATTCAGCGCCTATAGGAATGTTCATGCATTAACTGCACTCTTTCATTGGTGGGTGTATTAGTTAGAGTGTATGTTTGACCCCTTCCTCCGCTTGCGCATAATATTTGGCGTGAAAACAGCGAACAACGGATGAAGCATCATTGCCAGATGAAGTTGAGTATTGCGTGGATAACATATTTATATTATATCTTCAGGCCTCGTAATCATCAAGAGAAGACCAACAGTACGCCAACACTCTACCTTAAACATAGCTTAAACCTTCTTCATTTCTCAGTCAAAACGCTGAGCAACTGCAAAATTTTACCCGTATTCCAGAAAGAGCTGTATGAGTGCACTGAATGCTTCTTCCTTCGTCATCCTAGTTTGTTTAGCTCACAAACTGTAACGGCGTTTATCATGAAATAGCCATGCTTACATACAGGGTCTTTCATAATGAATGTTACTTTTGAAAGAGCTATTTCTCAGGACATATATGTTCCTCATGTAATATGTACCATCACATGGAACAGAAACACATTAGCGTTTTTGCACACCCAACTTTCATTTTAATGCTCCTCAGGAATTTTCCACTGTATCGCCCTTAACCCGCGCCCCGCTGGGGGGGGGGCAGAATATGCCCCCCCTCCCGTTTTTCGCCAATAACTTCTAAACGCGTTACGCCAGCGACGTCAAACTTTCAGTACCTTATCATACATCAATTTGACACGTTCCCTGCAAATTCGAGCGAAATCCGTCGGAAATTTTTTGAGAAATTGACGTTTTAGTGACGTCATGTTCGCCATTTTCGCTTAAAAACGGCAAAATTTCAAACGCCGCTAACTTCTTCATTTTTAAAGGAATCAAGACGTAACAACATGGTTATACGTGATTCTACTTTGTCAATCAAATGGTTATCTCGGTTTTTTGAAAATTTTGGATTTTGGCCAAAATTTTTCCAAAAAACTGACTTTTTTGGGAAAATATTTATAAAATCCAAAATTTTGAGTTTATCGAAAAAACCGGAATATATGTCAAAGAAGTGGTCTATGTGCACCTACATGCCAATTTTTAGAAGAATCGGTTAAAAAATGTGGGAGTTATTCAAAATTTTATGACGTTACGACACACAAAATTTTTGAAAAATGATTTTTTTGGAAGTTCTAGACCTCGTACGAAGATAAAAATAGCACCATTCGATTTGCCGTGAAAAACTGCATCGGATAGACACCTTTTTAGGCCTTAACAACCACCTTCAAAATTTGACCTCACTTGACCTGACCTTGACCTGACCTCGACCTGAAATTCATCCAGAGGTGGTCCATATCACTTATTGAGTGTGCCTATTGAATTCCATGAGTAAAATGACCCATAAAGCATGTGTCGCACATGCCCTTTTCTATATTTTGTTTTTGGTGACCTGACCTGACCTGACCTGACCTTGACCTTGACCTTTGAATGACATTGTGTGCAACGAATATTGTCTTGGTAGTCTAAGAACACGTTTTGGGCAATCAGTCTCCGTCCATTCTTCGGCAACTACAGTGCAAGGCCGATACTGTAGAAACTTGCATTTTGTACCCTTGACCTGACCTTGACCTGACCTCTGACCTACTTAAGCAAAAAAATTTGGGCTCTTAAGATCCGCCTTGTTGAGAGCTTTCGATTGCCGTTTTCCCCGTCTTTCTACGACCATCGGTTCGGAAGTTAGACAGGGGGCAGAATCTGCCCCCCCCCCCCAACAGGGCGCGTATGGCTGAATAGGCCAGGCGGGCGCGGGTTAATTAAGGCACAAGTTTCGGCCCTCTGACGAAGGTGTCGCACTCCGCGCCTCGCAACGTCTGGGTCCAGGCTTCCAGCAAACCTCTCCACTGTGGTTCGCAGTGGATGGCTGCAGGAGGGTTTTGTCTCAGATCTGCCAATGCGACTCCCCAAAACCAGTAGTCCAGCGGGGAGAGGTCAGGACTCAGTGGTAGCCATGGTCGCTCGGTGAGGTGGCTGATAACGCGCTCTTCGAAATTTTCGATCAGCCACTGGCGCAACAGCTGCCGTGGTGCGCACTTGGCACCATCCTGCTGGAACCACAGGCCGTCTCTTTGAACCTTGTCCCTGACCTGAGGCAGAAGCATTCCTTGAGCAGCCTGCAGAGGTAAGCCACCCCGTTCAGTGTTGACGCAGGGGAGAGCCAATGGATGAAGACTTGTCCGTCGACCGTAATCCGTAATGCGTTTTAGTGGTGTCGACATACTCTGCTTTTCCGTGAAGGAAAATTGGCGTTGTGAATTTTTTATTTTTGGGACAAAACCCTAATCAATTTGCAACAATACGCATATAAAATTCACGCGAAAGTGATAAATTAAGAGCTCCTAACTAAATGTTCAAAAGTAACATTCATTGTGAAAGACCCTATAAAGTTCTAGCAATTCAATCTTAGTCACCATTTGTGACCTGAATTACATACTTGGAGTCTATAAAAATGACTGCAGTGCCTTGTAAGCCATGCTCAATAATTCGTCGAATTCTGTGCCCTGCATTTGCTTACAATAGTCTTGGAATTAGAATTGACATGGAAGGCTCGAAGCTCACACGGCTCACCCACAGGGGTGGATGCCAATAACCGCCTCCGGGCGCTGATGAATCGATGTTTTTCCTTATAATAATTATTTCAAAGCAAAGGGAAACCCTGAAATGTTTGAAATGTTTCGTATTAAAGACAGATAACAGGAAATAAATGATTTTAAAGGCTCGCATTTCGTTCGAAATCCTTGCAATTTTCAAATCATTATCAAATCGTTGAGCGGCATTTCAGCGATCCATGGGCCTTTTGCTATTACATCAATTTCACGATAAGTCCACTTCCAGCTCTTCAAAGCCTACTTATCCGTGTCATTAGTTATCATGAAATGCCAATAGCGGGGCTTTGTTCGATGCCGGAGGCGACGCCGGCGCTAACAGCTCTAGTGGTGATCGGGGGCTGGGGTTCGGGGGCCAATAAAGGTCGGCGCCGCGCCGGCCGTGGGTCGGCCGTGATGCTGCAGCGGTGTCGTCGCCAGCGACTGTCACCTCCGGTTGGCGGCCAATTAACGACGTCGGCCGGAGCGGCGCGACGGCCGACGGCCGTTGGCGGGTCGTTCGGCACCCAATAGACTGGGTTTAATGCTGGTGCGTCAGGTGGCACCTATCCCGGCTGTGTGGGGCGCCCGGCAGCCGTCAGTTGACAGTCCGCGCCACCGCCCGGCCGGCCGGGATGGCCGCTTTACTGGCCACCGCATCGGCCTCAGCACAGATTTACTTCATACATCGCTATTTTGAGAGTTGATGTGGGAGGAAGGAGAATCGCAAATGGCGACTCTAATGTGATGCGAATGGGTTTCCTTGATTCGTATGATTCCTTAGATATATTCAGCCTTTGGCTGAAATTTCTACCTAGCTCAGTGATTGAAGAAACAGATAGGTCCACACTTCGTATACACAGACAACATAACTATTTGCTGCATAATTTTAAGCCTTTCTGGAATTCAAAGTAACGGAATTATTTATTTCTTTAGGTGCTGTGTCGACGATTTAAGTACCCGTCCAATCGCCGAACTGATGGCATGTCAAGGCATTGTGTCTGGAGGTGATGAGTTTGACAGATTCTGTATCACTCTGTCGCCACTGTCTAATAGCCTGCTAACAAGATATATTTCGATCCATCTGTCAGCAATCCAATACGTTAACCATGGCTAATGGGATGTCTCAGTTTTTTGTTAATTCAACCTAAGTGCCAACTTTGGTTGACTGACGCGTTTTACAAATCCAATTCATAAATAAGGGAGGAAGAAGAGGCCAACATATCTAATAGAACATGCTACTCCATCCATCCAACTGTTTATTGGTAATACAAATTAAACGCATAATATAAAGTAAAATAAGAGGAGGCACAAAAGCC